ATCAATGAACCTCATCCACGCTGTCGATGAATCAACCAGGATTGATCTGTTTCGTATCAAAGCGGGACCACTGCTACTCGATTTGCTTGACGGTAATTCGACTTAGCCAGGAATGCCGGATCAAAAACAGCTCCCTTATTCGAACGCAATAGTAAGACTGGACGGTTACTTTGGCTCTAGAGCATACATTTTGTCGCAACGTAGTAAGCTGTCGAATATGGTACAAAGAAGCGGCGAGTCGAACATTGACTACGTGAAAAGGGTTGCAGCGGATTCTAAGCTATGTAACTACAAATTTGAAGAGGAATTTGAAGCCATTTCACGAACGGTGACGAGAGGATCGACAGACAGCCGTATCAGAACCCTAGCTTACCGGGTTCTTACCGATGGAGGAAGTCTCAATGATTTGATTGACCAAGTACGCATCCGTGAAGTGGAACTCGAGAATGAGGACGATTACCGCAGACTACACCAGCAGCAGTCCGCCATGGTGGCAGCAGTATCTCGTCAGCCAACTGAATAGAGCCAACGTCGCCGCGGTCAGTTCCAGCCTTTCAGAGGATACAGCAATTGCCGTGGTAGAGGAACTTTCGGTCGCGGTCCAGTAAGCAACCAGAGACAAACTGAATCGTGCTGGAGATACTTAAGCGCGTACCACTCTCCTGGAGATTGCTTCCAGCATGCTCAATCAAGGTGAAGCAGGAGCCCCAGAAACGACGCTGGATGGGAGAAGACACTGAGCCTTCGATTAGCCTGGGACCGAAGATAGTACCAGAGCTGAGCCAAAAAGTTGAGCACGTTTCTTCGGGACCTTCTGGTCTTAGAGTTAACTATATGCTAAATATAACCCTTAATAATTATCATCATCGCTGTTACAGCTGATCTGCAGTCAACTAAGCGAATAGACTTCAAGTCGAGATGCGTCTATTGTCCACACGTAATGGATACCAGCGATCATCGTCATATAGGCAAAGAGGTAACTCTAAGACCAGAAGGTCCCGAAGAAACGTGCTCAACTTTTTGGCTCAGCTCTGGTACTATCTTCGGTCCCAAGCTAATCGATGCACCCCTAGAAACATAGGAAAATCCACGAACCCCTCAAACTTTCATAGCGAATCAAAACAAACATAGTGTAGTGCTAGAATTTCGACTAGAATGGGGAAAAGTTATCGTTGTTTTTCTACAAGAGGGCATTTTACCCCAGGGGTGCATTATAGGCTGTTCTCCCCTACCTACGGTTGCTGGGCTGGAGCATCGAGAGCAGCAGATGGGATGATCAAACGACGAGTGTATTGTCACGCTAATGTAAAATTCTCGTTTGGTGACGGTCGAAGCGCGCCGCTCATAAGCGCGCTGCAACCCCGCCCATAAGGATTATATCGAAGACAACATATCAAGAAGACTGGCAACTTTGCCTGAATCCGAGCGACAGACACAGTAGCGTTGCGCTCGAGTGAAAGTAGAAGCAACGCATAGGGGAAACGCACCAGTATTGGTCATGTTCCTATTTTGGCCATCTTTTGACGATATTACACGTTGTTAACCATTTTAAGATGTTCAGTAGCGTTCAGTTTGTTGGTACAAATCATACTCATCGGTGTACATAAACATTTCGACCACAAAATGCACGAATATTGTAATTTAATCGGTTTTCTGAACTGTGGCCAAAATAAGAACCTATGGCCAATGCACCAGGCACTTCCTCTTGAAAAATGAGCAAATACATAAACCTTTATTCTGATGATGGAGCCTTTGCTATCCAATTCGTTCGGAGCATTTACCTTTGAGCGGCAGATGCCATTGTGCCTGTCTCATACAGGTCGTTTGAGAAAATGGAAGAGTAGCCAGTCTTCTTGATATGTTGTCTTCGATTATATACAGGTGTGTAGCTTAGATAATATATTATGCCAGCGGCTTGAGGAGCGAATCCGGGATAAAGAGCCGCCATGTGTTAAATCAATGGGCGCAGTCGTACTGCCATAAACAGAAAACAGATGGTATTATCCCCAGGCTTGATGGAGCCTCGCTCGCGAGTTTGAAATGAGCCGATCGTAGCATTTTTCTGAAGAGTACAATGCCTACTGTCATATCATTCCACTGAGCTTCAGAGCTTGTGAACGAAGGAGGATAAAATAAGAGTGAGGTTTGCAGCCATTCATGTTCATATTTTCTATCACACGCTCTTACTCTCACTCTGAGTCAACTCTGAGCTTATTGCGTCGAACAAAAAAGTCATCCGGAGTCTCGAAAAGCGCACCTCACGACAAATCTTGACTAACATTTGAAAAAGGCGTAACTCTAAAATGAGCATATCGAGAAAATCGCTTCCGAATTTTGATGACCTAAAAATTAATCCTATTTCACGACTTTCCATGTAATCTATGATCATGCATCACTAAAAACTCAAAAAAAGTTTTCTTTGTCGTGAAATTGAGAATAAAACATCATACGCCCTGAGTATTTCTTACATGTTGTTACCCCCGGATCTCCCATCCTTTGGACTGCCAACACTGGTGATACGCCGTAGAAATATACCCTCGGGATTTTTTGTTTGTTGTTCCGCCTTGGTTCTTCGTTCGCAAATTTTGTGAGAGTGGATTACCACCGACAAACCGATACGACACTTAATTCTGACTTATGCCCGAAAATCGTAAACGGCTGATTTAAATGTGGAGTGATCCGAACTGCCAAAACCATAGGATTTTTTGATCTAGATAAAAATAATTTGTCTAGAATAAATCAGACACGAACGAATTCATAACTTTTGCATGCGGGTTCATGGCTTAGCTAAATATTTCCCGCGAACACGGAGCCAGATGTCAGTAGTGTGCTTTGGTTGTTCGTTGTTTACACGTGAAATATCAATCGGATGCATTTCAAATGAATCGGGCGTGACTAGATACTACAGAATCAGTACGTTTTGCATATTAAAATAGTATAATTCGTAGTTCTAATGCAAGGCGTAACAACCAGATGCATCATAGAGTTGAAAATTGGAAATATGCCATGTATTGTCTGTTGCAGTGGTGACTGGATTTTTGGGAATATTTTGAGTCGCACTTTGATGGTACGCTGACGAAAAACAACGAACTTTTTGGTTATTTCACGCCTAGAACGCTATTGAGTTTAACACATTTGGAAACAAAAAAGGTGTACCATTTGAATTTAAACACGTCTCAAAATCATTTTCAATCTAATTCATACTTGGAAAACCATATATTTTTTCACAAATAAGTAATTTAGAATTGTTTGCAAAATTGCAAATATTTTGCAAAATTATTTTTACATGTGTTTCGAGTAGAATGCAATGAGAGTGAAAAAAACGTGTTTTGTGACTCGAACAGACAATCAAAAGCCAATGTTTTTGTATTCACTTCGGATAAGCATAACTGTCACTTTGACAACTCTATCTGTCATACGCATGGCCCGCACTTATTTCATCCCCGCACTTTCAAAGTGCGGAGTCCAGTAAGGTGCAAAATGCGCAATAAAAGGAAACGTTTTTGATGATTTGAAATGATATTATCTTCTGCTTTTTCGTGTTTATCGAGTAGTTTGTGAACTGTTCTCTCTATAAGTGGCAAAATATGGTTTGTTTATATTTTGGAGTTACGCCCTTTTCAAATATTACTCTAGAAATCATCCTCTCGCTGAAATTCACTCTCCTTCTCTCCCGAGTAGTTTTTGTTTACTTCTTCCGTACACCGAAAATAGTTTTCATGTAGCTTCCATTGGAAAGGCACATAATTTTCATCCATAATCAAAATTAATGGAGTTCATCTGAATTTCACATAGCATTTATGCGATCACATTAATTTAATATGATTTTTTATATGAATGTCATCGGCCTCATATTATTCATGTGATTTTGTGATGGGATTTGCAGCTATAGCTGTATATATGGTATTACAAGAAAGCTACACGGCGAATGAGAACGACTCAAATTTAAGTTTAGTTCACTCATAATCGCCAAAAGTGCAAGAACTCAGCGATGAGTTAATTTGCCTCATGTTTTCCAGGTTTTTCCAGGATGTTCCAGGGAAAAATTCCTGAATTTGAGAAAAGTAAAGATTGGATTCACTCAGTCTATTGGTACTAGTCCGAGACTGAATAAAATTTTCGTCAATTTCCTCATTTTCCGGCAGATTTTTTTAGGTTTTCCACAGGAAACCATGAGACAAATTTTATTCATCGCTGAGTTCCTGCACTTTTGGCGATTATGAGTGAACTAAACTCAAATTTGAGTCGTTCTCATTCGCCGTGTATGTGAAATTCACATGGTTTTCATCTATAAGATATGCGATAAATTTTTTGAGTGTATTCCTGCCGCCACTCACTCGAGGTGAGGGCTGGCTAAACTCGCAGAACAAGAGTGTTGTAAAATCTCCAGTGAGTTTGAGGAGTTTCAGCAAGCCTGATTTTCCCATTTTGAGAAATTATGCTGCCACACACAATACAAAGGGCCGCCCACATTGAATCCGTTTGCGTTGCGTTGACGTAAATTTGACAGTTAGACAATAGATTTAGTTGTCACTTTGCCGCAAAGCGTCACATCCCGATGTAATGTGGGTGGCCCTTAACTGTTCGATGCTATGCTGAACCGAACGGACGGACAGTGCGAGAGGGAGATATAATTTACGCTGCCACGGGTCAAGCGATGACCAGATCGGGAGACGAGAGATCAGTTGGTTTCGGTAGCCGTTTAGAACGATGGTACTTTCATTGGGGATGCAGAATTTAAATTTGTTAGTATAAGTTGATGCTGTGTGAAATTGTTTAATGTTTTAATAAATGTAGTTTTTGTAAACTGTGTTTTAGCACAACCCGTGTGTTAATAAGTGTCCCATTTGGGAGAATTACCACCGGAAGAAGAAGGAAACTACCTCACTACCACAAACACAATATAAGTAACCGGTAATGAAACAACCGGCCCCAAGCAGTGCCCCACCTTGATACCGACCACCCTAATGGATAATTTCTGTTTTCTCGTAAATTCTTAGGATAACATCGAAGGTTTGATAATCGTCGCCAGTTTGGTCAACCGACCACCCAATCTTGGTGGCTTGGCGCGAAGTAGCGAAATTTTCGCCGTGAAGCAGTACGTTGTTAACTCGCTGAAGGATTTGGAAAACAAGGAATTTCAGGCGTTGAGGTAAACTCTGACGACATACATACTTTTTATGCTTCATATCATTGTTCATATATCGATAGCATGACGGCGGAGAAGTGGCTGAACGTGGCGGAACTGAAATCCTTCCAAATCGTCGACTACCTGTTGCAGATGAAGGCCAAAGGTTATTCCATTGTTGGAGCGGAACAGACGACGGGCAGCCGGCCTATTCAGAAGATTACATTTCCCAAGCGGTCAATTCTGGTGCTGGGGTGAGTTATTGGAATTTTTTTTTTGATGAATTTGATTGCCTAATAGGTGGATTCGTTGTTGTTGCAGACACGAGAAGGAGGGCCTTCCGGCGCACATTATCTCCCATCTGGATATCATTGCGGAGATTCCACAGTTTGGGGTGGTTCGTTCGTTGAACGTTCACGTTACCGGTGCTATTTTTATGTGGGAGTATGCCAAGCAGCATCACGTGGTGGATTGTTGATTGAGAACATAACAAATAAACATAGGAATAAGTTTTGCTGTTGTCAGATTTGTCATCATTGGAAACAAATTCGATTAGGATTAATTACGAATGGAAACTTCTTTCGGAGAGAAACGGTAGACTATAAAATCAACATTCCAAGATTCATCGATCTTTATTGGTATTCACACACGTTTTTCCACAATCCATCCACATAAATACAAACACAATGAGTGTACCATGCTCCAGTATTCTTCAAACGTTTCCCGAAGTACTGTGAGGGGAGTAGTTAGATTAAGATTAAACCCATCTTCCATTCATCTATCTCGAATCCGGTTGCAACCGGACTTCTATGTCCACTTGTATCCTATCGTGCTGAATTGTTTTCAATCTACTGTCATACGGTTTGCTTTGAAAGCATTTAATTTTTCAATTTATATCGCTTTATGACTCTTTTCTCGTCCTCCATCTCGTGTGTCTAATCCGATACCTAGACCAATTCGAAATGAAAATCGATTATCGTTGAACGTCGCAAAGCACTATGAGCTTCTGCACCAGTCTACCAAACCAACTGTTGTGGGATGCAAACATCCTGTACGGTATCGTTCTTTCCATTTTTTTCCTAATCAACTTGACTATCTATATCTATCATGTGGTTGTTTATTCTTGCTTCTCGTATTGCTCCGTCTGTATGAGGATTTAATAACACTTGTTACGGTATGTGTGTGTGTATGCGTACGGATGAGTACACAGTACATAGCATCAAAGGAATTGGCATTCGTCCGTCCGAATTTTGTGGGACGAGCTTTTTATGTGGTCCCTCGTGTCTTTTGGTATCGATTATCTTAATACACACTCCCACTAGAGGAGCTGCATGTGTATCCTAACCGTAAAAGCGAGCACTTAAAAAGAGATTAATGCTAACGTATTCGGGCGAGTGTGCTGGGCAATCTTGATGATGATGATGAGGAAAATTTTCGGAAAATTGCTATCCCATCGTTTTGGGGAATGAGAACACCTAAGTGCCTACCACTGGATCGGCTGAGCAGTCTGCAGATGATTGAATAAGCGAACGCTGTCTAAATAGGCGCTTCCTACTACATTAAATTTTACCTACTATAAAAGAAGCGCGAATTGATTTGCTAAACGATTAGGGTGAAGAGTTTGATTTGATGGAATCATGATAGTGCTGTTATAATGTTTTCCTAGTGGAAGTAATTCGTGCCAATTTTGAAAGCCTGTGGTTGTGCATTTTGGAGGATATAATAGTCTCTAAAATTTCATATTCATGGCTTGACTTTACTGTCTCTACTGTATAAACCTCTCCTAAAGGTTCACTGCTCAAATCGTATGCTATTGTTAATCCCACGTTGCAGAAGGATGATCGGTATGGATGGGTAAATTTTCTTCTTCTTAAGAATCAAGCTTTAGAAGATCTATACCAAAAGGTGTGTAGTTCACTGACTATGCACTGTTTTCGATTTTAGTTAGTTCAAGAAGCCATCGATCTTAAACTAAAAATTGAGGATATTTATCAGTTCAAATAGAACAATGTGATCAAAAATAGGATTCAAGGTAATATATATATGTTGTTGTTTCCTGAAGGTCGTCAGGAGGAAAAAGTTTTAAGCGAGTTGAGGTTATTTAGGGTAGATGTACCAGTTATGGCTATACGTACCTATTATGGTTTGTACCAATTATGGCTTATGGAATACTTATATTCCATAATTGGAACACACCATAATAGGAACATATAGCCATGACTGGTACATCTACCCTATTGTGTTGTGTTTTTTGTTTGACGATTACTTTCCCAATCGCCCAACTTTTTTAGAAATTGAAAAGGTCGTTGAATGAATATGGATACATACTGCATTCAGCTTTATTTAAATTGAGTCGAAAGGACTTCAGGAAAAGCCTTCGAATGAACGACTGTCACCATGGTAGCTAGATAAATTCTGAAGGTGGTTCGTGTTGACCAGTTGGACTAGCGATAAAGATGGATCGGGACGATCTCTAGAGAAACTAACGTAATCCGAAGAACTTAAATGCCAGCGGGCGACCGCTGGGGCTAGCACCAATTGAGACGGATAGGAATGACAAATAGGCGCTATCTTGCGTCACGTTTATCAAGTGGAAATGGGGGAGGGGTTGCAAACTTGGCCAAAAACAGTTTATAGTTGACAATATTTCAATTTTGATGAACTTTGGTCAAACTTTGTATACGAACATATCTTTCCCACGTTTTGCAGTTTATAGGTACATAACCTCAACTTCGACTTTAAAATTGTCTATTCCTTTCATCACATAAAACAAATAAATATCCTCATTTGATACACGTAGAGTCACCGGAATAACTGGATTTGAGTTACCTATCTTACATCTAAATATATTCGTTTTTGTAAATATATTACTGTTTTGGAAAAAAAAGTCAGCGCAATTTATATAGATACAAAATCAGAAAACCCCAAAAATTCAGAGGATTACAACGAAACAATTTTTCTAACTTACGACTATAAAGCGCTTAGGTATGAACAACATTACACATCCTCTTTAAATTCTCTCTGTTCAAACTATGTAATAGCTCCCAGCTTGTACGTTCGTCTGTCAGGCAGTCTGTCTCTGTTTCTGCTTCCGTACGAGTCCTCTCCAAGTCCATGAGCGACGTCTTCTGTGCATTTCACTACAATTGCTTACCTAGTGTGCCTTAAACTACACTGCCCTAATTGAACCTGATCGGAGGTATGTGGTTTCCGCACCGTGGGAAGTTTGGTGGCACTGGGGGAAGATCGGCCTTGGAACCGACGTGAACGACCAGATTCATACCGATCACAATGTGGAACTGGAAGTGGCAATGGAATAGCCAGTAGCCTGCCGAAGAGTAATATGGTTAATTAGTACGCTTACCCGCATGTTTTCGCCAAATTTATTCAAACCTGGATTGTTGGCTCTAAACCGCATCACGACGTAGCCATTGTTGGGGACGGCGATTGTATCCTTCAGTGGGGGCAGGTTGAACTGTCGGTTCAGCAGACCGCGGCGATCCAGATCGAGAGCATGGCGCAGGTTGATCTTCTTGACGGTGGTATCGGGTGAGCGGCCCATACCGATCACGTTGAACAAGTGACCGTGCAAGTGGAACGGATGGCTCAGATTGTCTTGTTGGACTGGAATCAAATGGAGACGAATTGGTACTTTGTTGCAACTTGTCGAATACGTAGTAATTCACCCGATCTTACCTTCATCTACCATGACGACTTCGACGATCGCGTTCAGTGGAATGTCAACGGTGTGGGTGCACATGCAGTTCGGGCCGCAGTCTGGTGGGCGGTTGTCACCGTTGCAGAACTGCTCTGGTGGGATGTCCTCGATTTGGGACAGCATCGGCGACGGTGGTGACACGTAGGAAATTTCGTCGATCAGCGAAATCAGATGATCACCGCCGGGGGCAACTGTGAAGGTTTGTAGAATGATTTGAGATATGGTTATTAATAATAAAAAAATTATGAGGCCCAGAATTGTGCATGAGAAACTACAACATGTTACTTTAAGTTTTAGTAGGAAATGTTTATTGTATTGGGTTCTGTGCAATACTGTTCTGTATTGTTTATTGTATTGGGTTCTGTCCAAAAGTATTCCCTTCTGAGATTACGAATATATCATGTTTCATCAGCAATCTAGATGCTCTAAAAATTTTACACTAGCGAATCAATCTACGAGAAGTTTTCTGCCATTTCTTACTTCTAAATCCATCTACGCACTTAAAAATCAAGACCAACAATTGAAATGGCCTTAACTCCATTTTGTAAACAAACCTTGTAAGGTCATTTTCTCGCGAACCGAAGTCCGCAAAGGCAAACCAACATAATGAACAGGTAGGGGAAATTCTCCTCTACCCGATTGTGGTTTAGGTTTGCGTATGAAGGTTTCGGTTCGCGAGAAAATGGCCTTACAAGGTTTGTTTACAAAATGGAGTTAAGGTCATTTCAATTGTTGGTCTTGAAATGTATTTTGTTATTGAATCAAATTGTTGTTTTCATTATTTCAACAAAAAATATGTTCGAATGAACTAAATTGATTTTTCTACAACCGGTTTGTTGGTTCAAACATACCCTTTCATTCGGTACAGTTGAAACCCGAAATAACCCACTAATGATAATCGATTGTAATCAACGGTCTGTAGGGTAGGATGGTGCAAAACGCACCGTTTAAGCAAAATCGTCAATTGCTGGCAGGGCCCCACAAAGTCACTTTCAATCGAAAATCGTCAAGTGACGATGAAGCTGTCAACCATCACTTTCAATTGAAAGTCGTTATGTCTTCTCTTCCAGCAAATCCCCGTCAACATCAACAGAACCACTTTCGATCAGTTTTCATGCTGTTTGTTTTGGCTTGACTCGTGTTCATTTCTTCTTTCATTGTCAAATGAACTTACTTTTCCATTGAAGCGAAGCTGTTCGATTAAAATTCGTGCAGTTTTTATGACTTTTGTTGATTGTTCACTCGGTTCATTTAAGCGCATGTGCATAGATGGTGGCTTCCAGTTTAAGAAAAAGTGGGAAATGCTGTCAAATACTTATCAATAAAGGTATTTTTCGAATCGGGATGATGCCTAGAGGATGAAAATCGATATCCGACGCCATTTTGGAATCGAAGATGGTGGCTTCCGATTTACGAATAAGTGGAAATACAGTCAAATACACATCAATATTGGTATTTTTGTAGTCGGTATGAAGTCTACCGATCAAAAATTGGTATACGATGCCATTTCAAAATCCAAGATGGCGACTTCCGATTTCAGAACAAGTGGGAAATATTGTCAAATATCCATCAATATAGGTATTGGAATCGGGATGGCGTCTAGAGGCCGGAAATCGATTTCCGACGCCATTTTGAAATCCAATATGGTGGCTTCCTATTTCAGAAAAAAATGGGAAATGCTGAAGCCGTCCCATCAATATGGGTATTTTTGGAATCCGGGTGACTTCTGGAGATTGGAAACCAATATCTGACGCCATTTTGTAATCCAAGACGGCGGCTTCCGAATTGAGGAAAAGTGTCAAATAACCTAAAATATGGTTATTTTCAGAATGGGGATGAGACATAGATGCCGAAAATTGATGTCACGCCATCTTTAAATCCAAGATGGTGACTTTGGTTCAGACAAACTGTGAAATAGTGCCAAATACCGATCGAATATCAGTTTTCGCGTCGTCCCCGTTCCGAAAATACCCAGATCTTAGGGTATTTGACATTTTTTGTGAAATCCGATGGCCGCCATATTGGATTCCAAAATGGCATCGGTTATCGATTTTCGGCATCAACGCGTTGTCCCTGTTCCGAAAATAACAATATTATAGGGTATTTGACACTTTTCTGACGCCTTGTGGCCGCCGTATTGGAGTCCAACATAGCATCAGATATCGATTTTTGGCAGCCACGCGTTGTCTCCGTTATTAAATACCCATATCTTAGGGTATTTGACGTGTTTTATGAAAGTTGATGGCCACCATCTTGGATTCCAAAATGGCGTCAAATATCGATTTTCGGCATCTATGCGTCGTCCCCGTTCCGAAAATACCCATATTGTAGGATATTTGACACTTTCTGAATCCTTATGGCTGCCATACTGGATTCCAACATAGCGTCGGATATCGATTTTTGGCATCTACGCGTTGTTGCCGTTCCGAAAATACCCATATCTTAGGGTATTTAACACTTTATAAAACTAATTGCCACTATCTTGAATTCCAAAATGCCGCCGTCTATCGATTTTTAGCATCCACGCGCCATCCCCGTTCCGAAAATACCCTATTGTAGGGTATATAACACTTTCCCTGACCCCGATGGCCGCCATCTTGGACTCCATTGTTCCGATATTGTTCGGATACTATCTGGATACTATATGTTGATGCCTGCGTCGTCAGGTCGTAACAAGTCGAATGAGCCCCGAATTGAAGTGAAAGTGGAAAAAAACGAAGGAAGCAGTTTTCGAGTCATTCATTGCGTCAATTGAAACAAGTCTTTGCTTCAAATGAAATGAACTGAAGCACTTGACGAACGAAACAAGCGATAGTCCAGTCATGTTTGAAAAGAGGAATTTTCATCGTGACTCGATAACAAGAAACACGATGACTTACCCGAACATGATATTGCTCGAAATGAAGCGATTCTGCGGAGAGTTCATTTTTTTTCTCTGTTTCGAAAATGCAGAACCCTGATTTGCTGGCGTATGGAAGCTAAAATCAAGAAGAAAGTAATGGTGTATGGTTCATTACCATGTTTTCTAAGAAGATCGAGTGATTTAGAACTACAAAAGGATTATTTTTCATGATTTTCAAGGTATTTTATAAATTAGTTCCAAAATGATAGCGGGGCAAAACGCCTGATTCATGGTGCAATATGCAACACTATATTGGGGCAAGACGCACGACAACAATGGCCAAAACACACTCAACATTGGGGTAAAATGCACCCCATGGTAGACAAATCATAACCCCTGCAAGTAGATAATGCATAGGGATGAGATATTCCAAACGATTATTCCTTTATGTTACATCAGAAATAAGGTCTCAATAGAATGTTAAACTGTGATTCATCAAGCAAAATATCTAAAAAATATACGAAAAGTGAATTTGTTCAATTTTTTTGCGATATATGCTGTGTCTTTCTATCTACGTATCTTAGATAGAAACCAGGGATGCCATATTTGAAGCCATGTCTTCATTTTGAAGACATTTGAAGTTCTGTGATATTTTTTTGTTTTGTGAAGATGTTTTAAGACATGTAGAAATTGAAGAAGACTTCAGAAGTTTTTTTTTTAAATTTTAACCGGACATGTGAAGATTTGTTCGATTTGTAGATTTTGACTTCATATTGCTCCTTCTTGATAATGCTGATTACGAATAATTTATCTAAAATCAGTTATATTTTCAGAATAATACTTGATCGACCTGCCAATGCACAAGACATTACTGAAATCTTCAATAAGATGAAGCTCTTTTCAATACTTCCTGATCAACCTGTCATCTTGAGCACATAACATATGTGGAACTTCATGCAAAATAACTGACTAAAAGTTGACCCCTTTTTTGTATTGCCTTAGTGGTATAACTGGTATAGTTGGCCATCGATCTGTCAATGTTGAAAACGTAAACAATGGCTTTTTTCGTAAATTTCTCGTAGTTCAAAGTCAATCCATGTAAGCCACCAATTCTATCAGTATCCCTCTACATAATCATCGTAGTGGTTTTCTTGAGTAGTTTTGCATTCTCGAGAAATTCGCGGAAAAAGTAATTGTTTACGTTTGCGACATTGGCTCTTATGAAAGAGAAGCAGATATATGGTTGCATGCTCATAGCGAATTTGTTTATTCCCAGGTTGGAACCAGTTCCAACCCAGTGCAAATCCGAACTTTTTTTCAGTGCGAAAGTCGACCCGTGCCAGGTCATAACAACAAACGATCAAACTGACGTTTGCTAGAAAACAAGCAGACCCTAACTTGATACCCAATCCAGGTTGGAACTGGATAATAAACAAATTAGCTATCAGTAAGCAGTTTTTCGACGATTCTGCATTGCAACTCTTTACTCCTATGGTAAAATCCCATAAACATCTGTCAATCTGTGCATGAAATCTAGCGAACTTTGTATTATCTCTTCACTCCATCATAGTACCAGTGAAGCGCCGTCTATTCACTCAAAGCTTGACAGAATCTTATGGGATTTTCATAGGAGTGAAAGGGTAAGGAAATGTCCACCATGTTTCACGCACAGACTGACGTTTGCTGAAGGGGAAATATCATAGGAGTAAAGAGTTACAGAGTTGCCGAAAAGGCGATTTCGACAGTGAGCATGCATAAGGGTGTAAACGCAGTGATCGATTCTGTTCATCGATTTTCTCTTTTGTTAATAATTCGCTAAAATTAACGTTTCTCGGTGCGTTTGCTGTTGCTTTTGATAGCCAATACAACCTGTTACAACTCTGCATTGAACAAATTCTAGAAAATTGTTTCGCTTAGCTGTAGCAATGCAAAGAGAAAATCGATGAAGAGAATCGACCATCGCTTATACGCCCTTATGCATGCTCACTGTCGATTTGTATATTATCAAGGTAATGCGGCCATTCTTTTTTCGACTTGCTCTACAGGGGGCTTATCAAAGCATCTTTTAACTTGTATTTTCAAGTCGGTTAGAAGCAGCCCATTGGCAGGCACGTGCAACATGTTATACCGTGACAGCGGGCCCAGCACAGCAAAATAAACGATTTGAGCCCGGGGGCATGCTGCCTACTGTCAAACGCTGCTGTTGGTATAGGCCTGGTCAGAAGCGAATCAAAAGCGTTATTACCCAGTAATTTTTTCACTGGGCTTTTAGTAATTCAACATATACATGTTATGATTTCAGCACGAAATATTCTGTTGATGAATATTAACGTTCACATAAAAAAAAAA